GGCCAGCAAATACTGGTTTACAGCCTTGTCCCTTACATACAGAGATTTCTCCAGATTCTCTGAATCTTTTAATGATATTATGTACTGTAGATGATGAAAAGCTAAAGTTCTTTGCTATTTTATGTTGAGAAACGGTATTCTTGAATTGTTTTTGATCATTGCAGTCTTTCACAGAGTGGTGAACCCCTCCTCATCTTTACTTCTGAAAGACTCAGCCTCTCTGAGATGCTCTTTTATACCCAATCATGTTACTGACCTGTTGTCAATCAACTACCAGGTGTTTTTTTAGCATTACACAACTTTACCAGCCTTTTGTTGCCCCCGTCCAGCTTTTTTGGAACGTTCCATCAAATTCAAAATGGGCAAATATTTTTCAGAAAACTATAAAATTTGATTTGTTGTCTTTGTACTATTTTCAAATACATTTAGGGTTTAAGTGATTTGCACATCATTGCATTTTGTTTTTATTTACATTTTGCACAGCGTCCCAACTTTCTTGGAAATGGGGTTGTATATATACACTGTTCTCTGCTCTCATCCATAATTTCCTACCATGTTCTCTCCATCTATTACTTTCTCTGAACAGTTCTCCTCTTTCTTAATCCCTCTATTCGTCTGTCCTCCACCTTCATTCTTTCCTCCTCGTTTCTATTCCTCTCTCCTGTCGTCCTCAAGGTGGGGCGGAGAGTTTAATGAAGTGATTTCAGAATTAAAGCCCCATCTTTACAGTCAAATAGAGATTATAGCACAGCTGCAGGTCTGATTACATACCATGGTTCTTTAACTCACACCGCCATGACCCATTATACCCTTCAGAATGTGTGTGTGTGTCTTAGCTTAAGGAGAGAGAGGGAGAGAGAGAGAGAGAGAGAGAGAGAGAGAGAGAGAGAAAACTTAATCAGCATGGATTCTTTTGTCTATTGTCTTGTCTGTCAAAGTGTGTGTTTACACACATCTAACATCCCTTAGTGAAAGTTTGGTAACAATTTGCTGCACGTCGAGTTCTTAAGGCTACATGACAGTTACATAAACCTTTCATAACAACTGACATAAACCTACAAAAACATTTATCAAGGCTTATTTCAACGTCAATGTCAAGTTGACATAACGCGTATGTTAAGTGACAGGATTTTGCCTTATTTTGAAAAATGTGAATGTTGATTTAAACATTCATGAACGTGTTATGAAGTGTTTATGTAAGATGTATGTGTTATGTAGACACCCTTCAAGTAAAGTGTTACCAACATTTCTAAAAGCTTATTCCAATCAGTGGCAGTTGCCATAAAAGCTGCTTGTGTCTTAACACCTACAGGTTTTGTTGACATTAGGTTGTCATATCACTTCCTAGGGTGAAATGACAGCATGTTATGATGTCAGCAAAAAAACGAGTGCACACACAAACTGCTCACTTTTCCTAAGAGGCAAATAAGTGAAAATATACATAACTCTGTCAGTACAGTGTCATGGCATTGCCATAATGGTTCATAAGATATTATAAGCATAAATATGAAACTCAAGGGGCAGAGAAGACATACATAACTGTCATAACAGAGTATCAGTGTCAAAGCACCTTTTTAGATTTACTCACTATTGTTTGATTTTGCAACCAGTCTCACATGACAAGCTGTGTAACATAATCACTATTGTGTGTTTGACATACAAAAAATACACTGAACTACAAAGTCAGCTGTCATAACATGCTGTCATCTCACCCCAGAAAGTGTTATGACAACCTAATGACAACAAAACCTGTCACTTGACATTGGTGTTATGACAGGCTGACATTGAAGTTGACACAAGCAGCCTTTATGGCAACTGGGATTTACTGGAATAAGCCTTCAGAAATGTTCATGTAGGTTTATATCAGCTATCATGAAAGGCTCATGTATTTGTCATGTACCTTTAAGAACTCAACCCACAGTAAAGTGTTACTGAAAGTTCAGTTAGTTAAACATGCTCATACCTTGAAAACGTCCCATGCTTTTATAATGATTTTATAGGGTCAGTGACTCGACGGCTGTTCTCTGGATGCATTGCCACTTCGCTGATGCACCGCTGCACTGCTTGCGCAGCCTGTATGAACGCTCTAACCCAGGGGTGCATAACTCTGGTCCTGGAGGGCTGGAGTGTCCAGCACAGTTTGGTGATCTACCTGCTTAAAAACACCTGATTACAATCATCTGTTAATTGCCAGGTTTAGTGGGTGTGTTTGAGTAGAGAAGCTACCAAACTGTGCCAGACACCATATTCTTGTGTGTGTGTGTGTGTGTGTGTGTGTGTATATATATATATATATATATATATATATATATATATATACAAAACCTTGTATCTCATGGTTTGAAAATGCCTGTTGTTCTTTACATTGTGTGTAAATTTATTTGGGTGGTGGATCATTCCCAGCACTGCAGTAACACTGACGTGATGGTGGTGTGTTAGTGTGTGTTGTGCTAGTCTGAGTGGATCAGACACAGCAGTGCTCAGTGTCCTCAGTGTCGCTGCTGGACTGAGAATAGTCCACCAACCAAAAATATCCAGCCAACAGCATCCTGTGG